CGCAAAGTCTGACATCGACTAGTAGGATAGCGTGCGAACAATGCAAATGTGAAGCAACGGTAGGGAAAAGGTGTACCTGGCAAAAAATCAACCATAGGAGAGCGGTTATAAGTATTTATTACTGGCAGAGAATATCGAGTGTGACTTTTTGCTACTTGCACTCTGTGGGAAAAGTAGCAGTAGTAAAGTTTGTGAGTGGAATCTTACGTGAATTATCATGAAGTTTCGATCAAATCATTTGCCGAAAAGAGCGTTCATTGTTATGTTCGTTCAGATTCTTCGGATCCCGCTCGTTCGAACAGCAGTCGTGCATGTATTGAGGGCCGAATCTCCTAGCTGCATATGGGTTCGTCTCACGAATCACATTACAGATAATCTCATCCTAACTGAACCGTAAGTAGGATAGATTGTGGAACACTTCATCTGTCACACTTCTGTCATACTCGTTTCGTATCCAAGGTGTGACCTTATTCCTCGCTGCACAAAAGACGGTATTGTGGAAGATCTTTACACAGGGGTGCTAAGTGAGTATGAGTATTGTATGGCTCCTATACAGGACAGGAAGTATGGGCGATGTCGAATACTTGAGGTATTTTGTCAAGTTTTTAGATTGTAGTCGCCTTAGTGATTTTTTCTTACTATTTCGCATAACTTTGTTTTTTAAATCTGGTCATTTCATGTCTACGACGACACAGTGAAAGTGTTTTTCATCGATGAAGGGCTCGAGTCGTGGGTGTTGAAAGATGTGAGTCAACGATCTTATCTTGTGACATTTGTTGCTATTCCATAAGAAAAGCTCTTTCGCTCGAGAATCTACAAAGTTCTCATATGTATCCTACTACATATTTATATTGGGCTGAGTCTACTTATCGGCCTGTTATTCTGCCATGAGTTTCGTACCACGGTCGACCTTACAGAAAGAGCCCATGATATCGGTCTCTCAATGGTTTCGGTTTTTGCAGATAATGTGCTCTTCTGTTTCTGTTGTGAGTATCATAAGTAACCAGTGAGACGGATACCTATATCAAGAACCCGACTTCAATTCTTCTTCTCCGATGGAC